TTTTTTTTTTCTTTCCTTCCAAGAAAAGGGACCACATAAGGGAAGGCAAGTAAGGGAAAGCAATATCAAATGAAAAAGAGCAGGAGAAGTGAAGGGAGCAGAAGTAGGGGGTAATTTTGCACTAAAAGGAACATTTCCAATATTAGGATGATATACTGAGCTAATAAACAGAGGGAAGATGGGAATATACAGTTAAAGACGAGGGGAAAGGGATCCACATAGGAAATGAGACAAAGGAAAAAGATTCAGAAGAAGGTAAGAGGAGGTTAATTACAGACATTCCTTGAGGACAGAAGTCATTTACAAGTTTCATTTTTTCTTCCTTTTTTTTTTTTTTAATTTAATATTGTAGCAATCTCGGTTAACATTCCTTAGCTATTGTATCTACTTCACAGTGTGGATGAAACAGTTTCACAGTATCTAAATCGTTTTCAGCAGTCCTGATTAGGCATAGCACTTTCAGTATAGTTTTCAAGTAGCTTTTGGCCAGATTTGTTATTTTTTAATGATTTTACAATTTTTTGGAATTTTATAGTATATTTTTATAAAGAGGGATTTCTTCTACCCTTCTTCATCCCTTCCCCACACAGACTTTGTCTCCTGTGTTCAGCTGTAGAGGAGACACCCATTTTGGACACCCCAGCTAGGAGATGAAGTGGGCAGAAAAACTTATTGGGGATGAGAGGGCAGTTGCTGCAGCCTGCATTGCTCTGGGGATTTTGTCCACCTTGACCTACCAGGCAGCAGCCTTCCAAGATGTTCCGCTGCAGATATTTTATTATTTCTATCTCCAAACTAGGACATGCCTCTATGGTTCTTATTTAAGGTTTGGCATTTTTCTCTTGGTCCCCAAATAATTTTTAGCATAGATGGGGCAAACTGTATGCTGTGTGCTTCACCTAAGGCTTGGGCAGCCCTTGCTAAGACATGGGCCTGTCCAGGTGTTGTGGAGTGAAGGACCATGTCTCTGATTGTGTCCATGCTTAGCTGAAGTGGGGGCTGTGTCCCAGAGCCTACTTTGGGGTGCGGTTTTGTGTATTTTCTCTCAAGTGACAGAAGAGCTGGTACCCAAAGGTGTAGTGGTTTGATACCGCTAAAAGTGAAATGAAACAGTCTGATTTCTGATGCTGCTCGCAAATCATAGAATCATAGAAGCTTTGGGTTGTGAGGGACCTTTAAAGGTCATCTAGTCCAACCCCCCTGCAATGAGCAGGGACATCTTCAACTCGATCGGGTTGCTCAGAGCCCTGTCCAATCTGGCCTGGAATGTTTCCAGGGATGGGGCATCTACCACCTCTCTGGGCAACCTGTGCCAGGGTTTCACCACCCTTCTTGTGAAAAATTTCTTCCTTATATCTAGTTGAAATGTACCCTCTTCTAGTTTAAAACCATAACCCCGTGTCCTATTGCTACAGGCCCTGCTAAAAAGTCTGTCCCCATCTTTCTTATTGCCAGCTCATGTCCAGCTTTTCATCCAGCAGTACCTCCAAGTTCTTCTCAGCGGGGCTTGATCCCTTCATCCCCCAGCCTGTACTGACACCAGGGGTTTGCCCCGACCCAGGTGCAGGACCCTGCACTTGGCCTTGTGAGGTTCACATGGGCCCATTCCTTGAGCTTGCCCAGGTCCCTCTGGATGGCATCCTGTCCCTCAGGCCTGTCAGCCGCATCACTCAGCTTGGGGTCATCTGCAGACTCGCCAACGGTGCACTCAATACCACTGTCTATGTCATTGATTAAGATATTAAAGAGTACTGGTCCCCTGAGGGACACCACTCGTCACTGATCTCCATCTGGACATATTGCTATTGACCACTACCCTCTGGATACCTCTACCCAACCATCCAACCAATTCCTCATCCACCAAACAGTCCACCCATTAAATCCATTTCTGTTCAGTGTAGAGGAGGATGTTGTGGGGGACCATGTCAAAGGCCTCATGGAAGTCCACATAGATGACATCCATAGCTCTTCCCTTGTCCACTGATGTGGTCACTCCATCATATAAGGCCACTAGGTTGGTCAGGCAGGACTTGCCCTTGGTGAAGCCATGCTGGCTGTCTCAAATCACCTCCCTGCCCTCCATGTGCCTTAGCATAGCTTCTAGAAGGATCTGCTCCATGTTTGTCCCAGGCACAGAGGTGAGGCTGACAGATCGCTAGTTCCCAGGGTCCTCCGTGCTACGTTTTTTAAAAATGCATGCAATGTTATGTCTGCAATCATAACCTCAATAATACTCAAAAATGGATGCAATGATAACTTCAATAATACAGTGGGATCAGCTGAAAAGGTCCCCACGTTCAGCACGGAGCATGAGGTGCACATTGCATCGGTAGGAGATGCTGGAGACTTCCTCACACATCACCTCTCCATCCCTGACATCCTGGGGTGGGGGCATCCTCTCTGTCTGCCCTGGTTTGTTCCCCTGTCCCTGTTGCAAAGTAGCTGGGGAGCGTACCCAGCCCAGCGTGTCAGCCAGAGCAGGACATGGTCCTGTGCCAAGGCTCCTGCCCTCTTTTTGGGATACACCGTGCAAAGGATGGCAGGGGGGAGGCGGGACTCGCCAGCTGGGGTGCACTGACCTCACAGGAGCCCCGTAAATGAGCGTGGCTCATAAATCTCACTCTTCAAATAATCCTGCTCCAGAGACAGGGTGAGACATCTTGATTTAGACCTGTTTGAAATTTGCCGAGCCAGTTTGTTCTCATATGCTTTTGTTTTCCCTGTTTCCTTCTCTCTCTCTCTCGGTGTATATATATAAATATATATTCTCACACACACATACACGTGCACACCCACCCACACCCACCCTCTCGCTGTATACCTGTTATTTTGATGCTGGTGTACTGTAGCATTTATGCCTGTGTGCTTTCCCAGGCCGTTCATTGTGCTGCCTCCCCTGATGGAGTGGATACGGGTTGCCGTGGCTCACGCGGGGCACCGTCGCAGTTTCTCGGTGGACAGCGATGACGTACGGCAGGCAGCAAGGCTCCTACTGCCGGGAGTTGACTGCGAGCCTCGACAGTTAAAGTAAGTGCACAAAAAAAAATGGGCTGCTCTGTGCAAAATGTGTCTCTCTTTCCTAGTGACAGCAAGCAGGCAGGCAGAGGGCTCTGTTACTGCCTTGAGAGGTGCATGGATGCTCGGGCTCGTCGCTGCGTGCATTGCAAAATCAGCTCCTGGTATTTGCTCACAGCCGTGGAGCAGCCGGTTGCATGGTAATAGGTGCCTGAATATCTCACAGCTGGATCGAGCCCGTAATCTGCTTGTCAGAGCTCATATGGTGGTGGTTTTTTGACTCTTAATATTAGGTTCTGCTTGCTAATGAGGGGCTGAAATCTTCTGCTAATTGTCTGCTTCACGTGGCTTTGCTATAAAATACTGAGATGAAATTGGCAGGGCTGCAGATATTTTTCAGTGCTTTGTTTTCAGCATTAATGCTTAAAGGGCACATTTAAACTTATAGGTAAGACTACCTCTTGCAGTAAAATTGTATTTTTCATGCTAATGTTGGTTCAAATTAGTTGTAAATGTCAGCCGAGAGAATTTGAGTTTTTCATGTATGAGATATGACCTTTTGGTTTTCTAATGAAGTCTTAAAATATTTATTGCCAGAATATGTTTTTAGTGTCTGTTTTGCCTTATCATTATGTACATGTATAAAAGCATGATCTAAGGGCTGTTTGATTTTCATATGAAAAGGCATTCTGAATCTGCCAAAGTAGAAATTACTCACTGCTGTTGCTTCACAAATTTGTACATAAAACCTAATTTTCAGCAGTTTGCCTCTTCATACAGCAGTAGGTGCATTCTTTCCTGCAACACAGAAAGCAGAGGGATGATCTACATGATTAGCTGGGACAGCCTGCATCGGAGCAGCTGCCTTCTGTTGACTCTGGCCTTGACATGCTCTTTTACCAGAGAGCATACTACGTTACTTCAAGATCTGCATAGGTTTTTCTTAACTGAAGAAATATGTTGAATTTTGAAAGTAAAATCTTGAGCGTTTCAGATTTCAAATCTTGGCTGTAATTGCTTCCCTTTGGTGTGACCATCTTGCACCTCATTTCCAGAACTGCAATGTTCTGCATCCCTACTGAAATGTCAGGATTTATAAGTACTATGCACTTTCTGAAGACCTAACATTTAATTTAATCCCTGTTCCAGTATTTAGGTGGGATTGCAAATAAGGCAATAATGTTTCTACTCTACAACCTCTGTCTTAAAAATGAAGGTAGATACAGTTATTTGTGGATTAAAAAAAACACACCATACCATTTTGTCAGTGTGTATAGGCCATCAACTGCTAGACAGTTTTCTAGGAGTTTCAAAATCGTTTGAAGTTGGGGTAAGTTGTATTATGCTGCATAAAAATTTATTAATTATGAAGAACAAATAAGCATTTAGTTTAAAGTTGCCATCAATAATTCATCAAGACTGTATGTGATAGCTGTTATCCTGCTTGTTTTGCAAGGGAGGCAAGGAACAGGCCTGAAGAGCACAGCCTGGGATTAATCAGGTGGGAATGAAAAGAAAATAATTCCTGAGACAAGTCCTGGGTTTTAGAGAGACCAGACTTTGTGATATGCCCTTATTTGACTGCAGGGACCCAATTCACCCCCTGATGTCCCAAAATTAAGATCTCACTCTCCTGTGCTGTCAGAGGTCTGCAAATGAGTGTCCATGTACTTTTGGTTTTATTTCAAGGTCTGTGCCTACTGCCAGCGTAGCGCAGCAGGTTCTTTACGTAGCTGTGAATCAGGCCCCTGCTGCCCGTAATCCTGAGATCAAAGGAAGGACTGAGCTTTTCTGAAGAATAATGTGAAGCATCAGGATGTTAATTTGAAACCTTGCAGCTAGTAATTTTTTATCTGTATTCAGTGCAGACCCTCAGCATATACCATTTTCAACTAAGCTGAGTACCAGCCTTTCGTGCCTCCGCATTAGGGAGGGAGGGTTTCCAACTATCAAGTCCTCAGCAAGCATCAATTCTATAAATGCAAACACTGGGAGGGGGAGAAAAATGCAACAACTTTGCAGTGGATGGCTTTTCAAATAAGCTGTGTGGTGGATGACAGCTGGAGGATTTTAAATGCGTTTGCTAGATATATTTTGTGACTTTTATAGAAATGGCTTAATAAGTAGAACCTTGAAACTGGTTCAATTTCTAGGCTTTTCTTAGCAGTCTTCTTGAGTCCCTAAAATATAGAGACCTGAACTCAAAAGTTCCTATCATCCCATGTGATATTGCATCATTCCACAGTGTTGATTCATGACCTGTCACTGCAAATGCATAAAGCAAAATCAGCTTCCACACTGGAAAAACATGCATATGGGGAGTGGGGGAGAGAGAGAGATTGGCAGGATCTCAAAGGCTATGAAGTTCAGGATCAGTTCAGATAAAAAACAAATGTTCAGTTTCTTATCTGAACTGCAGCGTGGAGGTCTCCCAGCAGATTCGTGTGACACTTCCCAGCACAATCACATACTCCAGCAGTAAGGTTCCCGATATGTGGCTTTGTAAATCATCTCTGCTTTCTTCCTGCCTTTCATTCCAATACTTCCTCTTTTTCTCCCCTCTTCTGATCTTTTTTAAAAAACCCATTGCCTTAATTTCTTGCAATGTTTTCATCTCCTGAAAGAGGAGCTGCTCTTGCTTTGGGTAGAGGAGTGAGGGAAGCTGGGAACAGGCAGGGCCTGCCTGTCTCCTTCCTAATCTCCCTTCATTTTACAGTAGCAGACATGCCAGAAGGTTTCTTCCCTTTCCCCAGCCTTGGGAGATGAGCAGGGATATAAATACTCACCTTGCCCCCAGAGTGGAAGATTTAGGTAGAGCAGTTGTCTCCATCTTTTGCAAGGAAGTCGGTTTCACAGGTGGATTGACTGCTGTATGCACAACAGCTAGCTGAGATGGAAGCCCAAGTTGTGTCCAAAGTATTTTTTGTTGTAGTGGGAGACCAGATTTGAATAAAGCCTTGCCTGTACCCAGGCCCTGTTGGGCCACCTGAGGCAGCTGGATGTAGTCAGTGGAGAACTGTGTGCACAGTAGCTCTCTGCTGGCATAAATCTGGTGAAGATGGGTGCTCTGCTCTCTGCTCTAGACCTTTTATTAATGAAGGCATCAGAGACGAAGGTAATTTGTGGCCAAAAAGGGGGACACTGGTAAAAACTGTGTTGAACTGCCTTTCTGCTGCAGTAAGGTAGCATCACTTCTCAGTCTGCACTGGGTCTGGCTGGCTGCAAACAGATGCCTGGTTTTGGCCGCTCGTTATCATCGCATCTGCAAGGGGTACCTTTCCACCTGGTCCACCTAAACGAAAGAAGCTCTTTGCCTGTCTTTCTTTCCTCCATTCTGTAGGACATTCGTTTTTAAAATAAAACAAAAAACAATGTGTTAGGTGTGCTGGGGAGGATTGCTAATGGAGGACTACATCTGGGGACTGGAGGCTGACGGCAGAGAAACAGAGCAAGGGAGGAGCATCCTGTATTGCCCAGCAGAAAGGCTGCCATGCTTTTTATCAGGGTCAGTGGCTTCATTTCTGATTGCAACATATCATGGCAATCCTGGAGGATGTAAAGGTGCTGGAACAAACTGACCCGAGAGAGGTGGTAATGTCATGCGGGGGACTGTTACTTGCACCTGACTGGATAAAGGGCTATTTTCTGGCCAGTCAGAGGTTAAACGAAGGATATAGTCTGGGGTGTGAATGTATGTGTGTGTGCGCATATGTTCATTCTGATATCCAGAAGCAGCAAAAATTGAAGAAAAATCCAGAGTCTTGGAGATGAGAGTGCAAATCCCCTCTACAAAAGGCAGTTCCCATGTTATGTCTGAAGTATTTTCTTCTACCCTCAGCATTGCCTCAGACCTCTTTGAATCCAAGTCATTCCCTGTCTGGCTTCTCTGGGGAAAGCTGCTTTTCCTGGGTGTTTCTGGGCCTGGCAAGCAGTCCCTTGGCCCCCGAGAAGGGCTCTGCGCTGTGCTGAAGGGAATCAGGTGGGCAACGTCTTCACTCCCTACTTCTTTAGAAAGTGATACATGGAGTGATGCAGGTGCTGTGCTTTGATTTGGATTCGTGGATTTCATTTTTATTCCTAATTTATTAATTTCACTTTAGTGGGCATGGTGGTGTTGGGTTGACAGTTGGACTTGATGATCTTAAAGGTCTTTTCCAACCTTTATGATCCCAGAGGGAGGTGTTCCAGGAGACTCCAGCTTGCACTGGCCAAGGATGAGGTTCTGGCTCCTGAACCCCAAACATCCCAGCTGTATGTCTGACCCCCAGCTTGGCTGGGGAAGGAGTGGCCTGTGGGTGGCTGACCTAGCTCACATTGTGTCCAAGGGACCTTCCTGGCCCCTGGATGAAGAGGAATGCTGAATGTGGCCCCACAGCACTGAGATCCTCCAGAAGTGTTGCTCGTGAGGGAGGCAGGGCATTTCTCTGCAGCCACAGGTGTGTGTGGAAGCCTTCTCATGCTCATTAGTCCTCCATCTCCTTGCCCAGCAGGCTGTGAAGCTCCTGGCTGAGATTTGGAGGAGAAGCTGAGTTTAGTTGTCCTGAGGAGTGGCTTCTTCGTATTCATAGATGGAAAGGCTCATGCCTTTCTCTTGTACGGTGGAGAAGTGAGATTGCTCCCTGTGGCATTCATTACAATCCCCCATGGGCCACAAGTGGCAGGTGTTGGCAGGAGGAGCCTGGGACAATTCTATAAGGAGGTCTGAAGTCCTTTTTGGCAGCTGTACTCAAAGGGCAGCGATGGGAAGTGGCATTTTTGTTACCGGGCTTCTCATGGGTGGAGTCCCACAGGCATCTGTTTTCTTCTTGCCCCATCCCATATTGTTGTGCAGCCCATGGAGACCCCTTGGGCTCTGGTACCACCAGGGTGCTGGTGCGAGGCGTTGCAGTCCCTTGTTTGCAGTCCTTGGTTGTTGGGGGAACACTGGAAGACGGAGCTGGGCAGTGGGCTTTGCATGCCGACCCTACTGGTGTGGTCAGAGCCCTCCCTTAACATTCTAGTCAAATTTAGTT